TAACTAACTTATTACTACTATACATCGAGCATCTTACCAAGTGTGGTTCCTTACTGGACAACAAGTTTTTGCTAGCTCTTGCCTTGCCTTCTAAATGGGTCACCCATTCGGTATAAAACCTCAAAACTCAGTATTCTTTTAAGTCTTTGGAAATGTTTGTAGCATGTGAAGTAAAACAATTGGTCTGTAATGGGTTTGCAGCACATAGAAGTGTTGGTGAAACATATAAAAAAAAGGCATGACCATCAACTTTCCATTGAACGATCGATCTTCCTCCCACCTTGGCTTGCCAACTACTTACAGGGGAAGTACAAATCATTCTATGTTGCCAAAGTCAAAACCAGAGTTCGATGGGACGACCAACTTACCCGTTCCATGAATGGGTCTCCATCCACGTGGTTTGAACTTTGGGACATGATCTACATTCCAATGATATGGGGTAACTCACATTGGGTTGGATTATGCATCAATCTCCCTAATTGGTCTATAGACATCCTTGATCTCAACGTACTTCTAAACAGTGACTCTAAAGTTAAGAAATACATGCCTCTGGTAGTAGGGGTGCTCCCCTACATCATACAGAAATTCTGCAACCCTTCTGCCACTCAATCCCATGGACTAACACCATTTACTTGGTCAAGGATAAAAGATGTTTATGTGAACGAAAAATGCGCTGATTGCGGTCCAGTTGCCATGAAGTTTCTAGAGATTTATGCAACTGGTTCTGGATCAGAGACAATGGCACTTATCACGAACGAGATTGTTGATGCATTCAGGGCTCAATATGCTTTCGACATATACAAGGATCTAATTGCACCCATCTACACCTAATCGTTTGTGAACCTACTATTTAAATTTATCTATACAACCTTTCTTAAACTCTTGTAACAACTGACTGGACAACAACTTCATTTCCAGTTGGCCTATGTATATAATGTTTGCCTATTTATAATGATATGTACAATATACTAGCATAACTATCCACAACTTCTTGAAATTTTGGATAAACTAAAATAGGGGAGACTTTAGTTATTATGTTAGATAAGAACCTGTTTCATCCTATGTGGATAGTCTGATATATTCTCAGTGTCTAGTTTTGTGTACTCAAGTAATCCCCATATTTGTGGCCAAGTGGCTCAAACTATATTTCTATACAACAATTTTGGCATTTTATCATTCTTATTAAGAAATACCCACCTCAAAATATGTTGTTTATGATAGAAAATGCCAAAGTTTCTCATTTTTGAACAGTTATTCTGTTTTACTAGAATTCTAGGACTCATAACCTTATTGGTATAGAAGCTTCCGTATGATTCCCACATTTGGTAGGGATAATCTATCCATAATTAGATAGCCACACGAGAATTCTTAAATATTTATAAAATTAAATTTGCGAAAAATCTGAAAAATTATGTTTCTAAACCATTATGTGGGGAGAATCCGCGTGGCTAACTCTTATGGATAGCTTGTTACATATGTACATTTGTATAAAACAATATGGACATTTTCTCTCCTATACAATATCTTCTGAGGTGGGTATATTTTATTAAAAATATCTTATAAAGAATATGTTCTCTCCATCTATACATCAGAAGTATTTACTTTACTGTAGTTATTGACGATTAACCTTGTGGGTATAGAGGGTTAAAATATGATTCACACATTTTGTATGGTATAATCTATCCATAATTAGTTATCCGCACGGATGCCGGAAAATAAGAAACATCATGTAAGTAGCCACGCCGTATATTGTTTTCCTATGTAATAACCTATACATATGTAAGTAGTCATGCCGTATCAAATCTCGGCGGTCCAACGAACAGGTGACGAACGTATATAAAAAGAACAAAACACAATAGAATCCATGTGGTCTCGGACCTATGGATTGAGAAACATAAACATAAACACTAGTTTACATACTTCATTCTACAATTAGTAGGTAACATTGTTACTATATCCAAAAAACAACAAGTACTAACTAGAATAAACACCGCCCAATGGCTAAAAAAAAAACGACATTCAACAAAGCTTAACAATGCACACAACGCACCCAAGATACAATAGCAAACTTAAGGTTGCTAAAATTCTTTTGTTTAAGCTAACTTTAAGAGATATGCATAATATCTCGGGAAAGGTAATAGTAAATTTAATCCATACACCTTCACCGCGATACTCTCCCAGCGCATCGTGGTGCTACCAACAATCTGGAGAATCATCAATATGCCACGTACTCGGTAAGTATCAGCTCGCCTAGGACCCATCATGTAGATGTGGTACATCAACTTGTCTGCATTCCTGGAAACCTCTTCGAAACTATACTTTTTCTTCAATATCCAAAGATCCTCATCCTTTAGGGTTCCAGCGCATGTAAGCAACATGTTGTAGGCCAGCTCTGCCACCTGATACACAACCTGAAGCGGCTGAAGTACAATTAGGGCCTCGTTGAGGTGGCCTACTATGAACGCAAGATGTAGGGCCTTCATATACAGGGCATACGGATTTTTGGCATGGAGACACATGCCAAAAAAGTTGAAATAAATGCTTGTTGGCCTGCACCACCGCACGAAATCGTAAGACCTGTCTAACCGGAATGCGGCCAATGTTTCGGGGGACTGCATTGTTATCTTCCCCTCTTTTCCTGTCCGAATCCAGCTTTTCAGTTCCGATATTCCTTCAACTGCGACATAGCTAACAATTTTTGCTAGGATTGGTTGGGGGATGTGGATTCCAGCAACCGGCGTCCCCTGCAACAGGTAATCCGGTAAAACATATCTTATAGTGTAAACCGGTAAAACATATATTATTCAGTATTGGGAAAAAGAACGTTACCAAGATATGGAGGCGCCTTCTTTCGTCAGGGACAACAACACGGCAGTTACATTCAACCCGTGGTGTGAGCCTACTCCGCCGGGTATAGAACTGGGTCTCATGGGTTATCTGGGACTCATCTGCACATTCGGCCTCGTCAAACTCGTATCCAGTGAGAGGTTCCATTCTATCTACTCTACAGATCAGTTTATCCCAATCGTTAACGAGAGTCGCATTTTATAGACAATATATAAATATATTTATTTTACGCTTTGTTCGAGGTAGGAACTAGCTTTATTATGGATAGGCTACTAGATACAGTAGTTTTCGTAGAGTGTAAATGATAAAGTACACATACAAAACAATTTCACTTAAATGCAGAAAGTTGGGTAATAGATATATCCCTTACAACAGTAAACGAGAATGCAGGATAGTAACCATAAGGTATCGACGCTTAATGAATTTTATGGATAGTAGTTGGGCAGCATATTTGGCGGATAAGAGTCTAATCACTGATGGAAGTCATAAATGGTGGAAGTCGTATAGAAGAATGTAATGTTTGGATAGAACACGATATCTGCGTGGCTAAATAATTATGGATTGGTTATTACCTACAAATGAACTGGATACCTGATGTTTAGTTATGTCTGGATAGAAATGAAGTAGTGGATATGTAATAATAGATAGGTTAGTGGAAACTTGTTCGTCGATATAATCGATCTTTGGGTGACATCCAAATACCAGAAATATCATCAACCTAGGGAAAAGAACTTTACACTACATTTCCGTTAAATACTTAATACTTCCTTTCATTAGAAAATTTAATGACATCCACATGGATTCATATGCATGGACTCTTGCAACCGTGTTCATCCTTGTATTCACATCAATGGATTCATAGACGATTTTTCCATATTCTTAAAATTAAGCTGTTCAATAATAAATTCGTTGATAAGTCTCAATATATCAATATAGTATTGATAATCAAAAAGTAATAACATCAAAGGAAATTGGATGCATTCTTAACCGAGGAGAAAATAAAAATTTAAGAACTACACCACATCCGAGAACATAAGTAAGATGGAAATCATAGTTGATTTCTTAGCTGATAACAAAAAACAAACCTTAGCACAACACTACTCCTCTAGTTGTGAAAAACATTTTGACATTTCGGTAAACCAAACTGGGGACCATTCCATGTCTTTCCTCTGTTGCACCTTGGGCACCTAGGGCTTCCAATTCTCTCCCTTCTTCTGGTCCGCCAATATTTAGTCTCGCTATGCTCCTTTGCGGCCTCATCTAGGTAAGCTTTGGACCAGCTACCAACACTGTAGCATTGACCAACCAAGGTTGCGAACGCTAGACTATAATTACTTCTCGCCCACAATACATAAGGGTTTCTCCGGTGAAGACATTTGCAAAAGAACGAGTAGTATTTGGAATGTGGCATCGACCACCAGATGTAATGCTCTGATTTTTCCAAACGAACGGTTGTCAAACATTCTTTCGAGTAAACAGCAACCACCCCCTCTCGACCAGCTTTCAGTAAACTTTTCAATGCGTCCACACCATCCTCACCAAGAAACATTGCAACCTTCGCGAGCAAAGGCGAGGGCATGTGAAACTCCCTTGGCAACAAAAGCACCTACGAAAAATAGAGCTAGTAAATAAAAATACGAATACAATGATTGTTCAATACGAGGTGATTTGTTTGTTTCAATACCTTAACAGAGCCTGTATCAATTTCCGCTTCGGAGATTATCACCATGACTGTTTCTCTTACTCTGGTTGGTGTAAACTTACGACTAATATATAGAAGAATAGAATATATTTTTTTAAATAATATAATAACCCAATAAGTTGGTATCCAAAGCACCTAAATCCACATCGCCAGATTATTATGTGGAATCTTCTGAACTATGTGGTGGTAATCATCCACATGGTTATATATGTGTGGACTCTCGCGAATGTGTACTTTGATGAGCGGGAAAATTGGCGCCCATTTCCTGGATTTCAGCCGGTTAATTAATTATGGCACGTTTATAGTTGTACTCTCGTCTTACAAAGCAGAATAGTGTCTGCTGCTGGATTGGACAGAACTTTTAAATTACTGTTTGAGTTGACTATATATCGTACAACACACTTACGCAAAATAAAACTCTTTATCAGATATCACACCACTTCGTGGTAACTTATTTGTTATTGTTGAATCCACATATGCATATGCATCTGCCACACCTATTAACTTTCTGTTTCTGCATACAAGACGAATGGACAATATAGACATTCATGTAATCATTTAACATATATTAAGTCATTACATATTCACAACTACTAACCTTAATTTCTCCAATAGATGGAATCCTTAGCTTTGGAGGACGCCCAAATGGTCTACGAGCCTTAGGAGGGTACAAGACATGTTTGACAAGTGCCTCAGGGACCTCAATATCACACAGCTCCGGGTTTATTACTTCTTTATAGGTAGCTCTCCAAACTTCTGTCGTATAGAAATCACCCACCAAAGATGAAAATGGAATACCTTGGCTGTTGGCAGCCAACAATGCATGTCCACATGGAATCTTGAACCTGTCGTATTGCTTACATGTACACTGTTTGTGGTCCAACAATACATGATGCTTCTCGTTAAGCATCCCGACAACTTCATAACTCCAGCTAGAAACCATTCCTGTTTTACTCCCTTTCACGGTTAACAGAGCCTTGATCATTACTTTATCAATTTCCGAAGTTGTGATTCCAATATGTCTAGCCGCTTTCTTTCTCCTAGCACTAAACCAACGTGTTAACATTGCACTCATAAACTTAAGCAATTCTACAATAGGGGACGCCCTAGCTTTCCCTAATGCCTTGTTTAATGACTCGGCAATGTTTGAAGTCATAAGATTGTACCTGTCTCCCTGGAAATAAGACCTTGTCCAATGCGCAGCTCCAATCTTATCGAAATAGATTGCACAGTTGTTGTTCTTAGCTTTTATAAGATTGTAAGTCTCTTTGTATGCCGTAACCTTATGCGCAAAGGCAAACTTCACTACAAGTTTTGCTAGAACTTTATTATGGAACTTAGCATTCACATTCCTCGCAAGGTGAACAATGCAAGCCCCATGATGCAGCAAAGGAAAAACCCTTTTCTTTGCTGTGTAGATTGACCCATTCCGATCCGAAATAATTGAGAGTGTTTTGCTATCAGCTATTATACGCTCCAGCCTTTCAAAAAACCACATCCATGATTCATCATTTTCGCTGTCAACCACTACAAATGCAAGGGGAAAAACTTGAAAGTTTGCATCTTGTCCACTTACTGTGAGAAGGACACCTTTAAACTTCTCCGTCAAACGAGTCCCGTCAACAACAAGCCCACGTCGAAGGTTCCGAAACCCTTGAATAGATGCACCAAATGCCAAAAACAAATACAAAAACCTCTCACTGCCATCATCTTCAAATTCAGTTTTCGTATATGTTATTGTACCAGGGTTTGCCTATTTTAGAACAAAAAAATATGCACCCAACTGGTCATAGGAGTCGTCTTCAAGTACAAATAAATCTTCCTCAGCTTTTCCCTTTGCTCTCCAGCACTTACTATAAGAAGCTGACACCCTAAGATCCTCAAGAACCATCTGCTGCAGATCCAAAGGTGCAGGGCCTTTGGTTGGGTCACTGAACTTTGATTTGTACACGGCTGCAATGACCTTTGAGGTAGCTTTCTTCAAATAATCGTTCCTTGTTTCTATAGAGCATGTGTGTTCCAAGTTTACTCTCCTAATCTCGTAGTAGTCCACAACCCATTAATTCACACGCAAGAATCCTCCAATCATAACGATGGCCCGAACACTGAAGAACAAACGAATGTTTTTTTGTGGTTGTCTGTGTAAAATGGAACATATTCTTAATAGCATAAATAGCAATTTCAATTTGACATTCCTCTTTGCTAGCAAATATCTTCCCTAAGTAAATGTCTTTACCATCATCATCATATTCAAGATTTGATATATCGTCCCTTTGATACTCGGTATCATCAAACGAAGGAGGTATATCAAACTCCTCGTCGTTCATCCACAAACTGACCTGCTTCCACCTGCTTGATTGCTACCATAGTATCCATGCGCATCTGTCCACGTGGAAACACCAGGTTGTCCAAAGGCGCTTGGAGGCACATGTCCATTCAAAACTCCATCTTCATTCAGGTCTACACCTACCACTAGCGGCTTATCCTCAGGCTTTATGACACCATTCAATACCACAGTATGGTCAAAACAAGATTGTGTATTACACAACACCTCCAAAACATCAACTCGACCATAGTTATCACCTATGAAATTTCCTCAGAATTCAGTGTCATACTGTTTTGGTGTCACGTAAACATCATTCTCTTCGACATTTTCGTCGTTCGACATGTCTTCAATCCAACCATCTTCTTCAAAAGGGAATTGATCACTCTCTTGGTTTGTAACAGAATTAGTTTGATCTTCAGTAACCCTCCCCTTTACCTCTGTTTCGTTTTTCCTACCATCCTCTGCTGCTGCTATTTCATCAAGGAAAGCTTCATCCTCCTGCGTAACCTCAATACAATAGTTTTCGATCCAGCAGGGTATATCTCCCCACACAACTCTTCTCCAACATCACTCTTACTTAACTCTTCTCCAACATCACTCTTACTTAACCCACATGAAGACCCGCAATTGCGTTTTCTACAGCCATCCACGGAGAGGGGGGGTCTGTTCTGCCTCCAACTCGACTTCAGCTTGGGCTCTTTTACGGAACTCTTTGAATGTTACAAACAAATTTAGACCTCTGTTCCGACGAAGCTTGTCCATATAGTACTGAAGGCCCACGTTTGTACTGACCAACACTGGCGGCGGCCTAACTACTGGTGAAAAATACAAATTGCTGGACAGACAATAGCTCAGGTTTGCCTTCTTATTAACCAAGTTGAATTCTGCAACCACGGCATCCTAGAGAGAAGCAGCTGGTCGACGTGATTTCCGCCGAAAAAGGAACGATCCTAGAGAGAAGCAGCTGGTCGACGTTCCATTCACAAACGTTTTGCTCGGTGAAATACCACTTCCCTGAAACAACCACACTAAAAGGAGGTAGTTCGTCCTACGGGAGAGCAAGAAAATTAATTACCGACAATGATCAAAAGAGAAGTTTATTAAGAAAAAGAACTATCCACAAACCCTTACATGCGCAGCCATGTTTGGAGAAGACCGACAAAAACCCTAAGCTCAGATTACTACTTTCTTACCCACAAATAAACGAGTTCTTAAGTTGAAAAATCCTTTTAATCCAAAAAGTCCCGTTTGAAACAAAGATTAATATAAGCCACATGATCTAATTATCTAGTTAACATCCTACGGTTCAATTGAACAATACAAAAACAGAGACAAAAGGCACAATAGTCAATTTTCTCTCTGCACAAACAACTACTTATGAACAAACGTACACCGTAAGCAGAAAGTGGGTATGCGTGTGATTAAAACTTGTCAAAGTATGTGTAGACGCAAATAATTCTAAATTAAAAGATGAGAAAAAATTCGATGTATTTAAAATATGTTAGTAGATGTGGTTAGGATGAAAAAGTTTGGTTAGGAAGGAGGATTTAGTCGAAGGACAATACAGACAAATCAAAAGGAAAAAGGGTGCGTTGGCGGCGCTATTTCTATACCCAAATTACGATACCCAATAAATAACAACCTAAACTCACAAAAATTTCAAATTCCCAATCTAAACTATATGAAATCAGCCAAAATCAACATTTATCGAATTAGTGTATGTAACCACTTAACAGCGATGAGTCAGCCGATACCGTGGCAATGACGGGACATCAGAGTTGAGCAAAACGACATCATTTCGTTAGTTTAGGGTTCTCAAATTGAAGTTTCGATGACTGTTTGCTTTAGCAATTCTTTGATTCAAGAACCCTAAGCTAACAATGATGTCATATTACTCAACTCTGATGTTCCGTCATCGCCATGGTGTCGGCAAACTCATAGCCCTTAAATGGTTAACTAACACCGTTTCGGTATATGTTGATTTTGGCTGATTTCATTTAGTTTAGGTTGACAACTTTATATAGTTTAGGTTCGATAACACCGTTGCTGGATATCGTAGTTTGGGCATAAAAATACCGCCAGCAAATATTCTGGGTTAATTTTTGCTATTTTCCCCTCCCGGTAAATACAAACATAAAAACGTTGCTACGATGCTAATTTTTCATAATTTAACTGGGAAAATGACTACATCTGCAGATGGAGTAGATCATGGAGCTGTTGTGGATGTATTTTCACCTCAGACAACTAGTCGATCTTGTCATTTTGCTCAGCTACAACTCAAGCATTTGCTGCTTCTCGGGCAACCTCAACATTTATAAGCACTTTGCTCTTCGATTTTGCTGTGAGCTTCCTTAAGATGTATCCAAATTCTAGCCCTTGGAATACACCTACCGTTTTATCATTTACTAAAAGGGGAGTAAAACTTACCCCCATTATCTTGTGGTAAAGGCGGACTATTTGTTAATATCATAAACTATTCCACCTCGCTCTGAATTCGTCTGAGAAATTTTTCACCTCTTCATTAATTCTATTACGCATCCACTCTCGGAAATTAGTATAGTTATAACTTCTAGGCATTTTTTTTCTTATTGTGGCTTTTTGTATTTTTCCAAATAAAGAAAACAAATGGGCGAGTTATACAGAAAATTTGGTCTTTATATAACGACTAAGTAGTTGCCAAAAGCAGGTATACTTACCACATCTACTACTCAATAAATAAAACTTTTTTTTTAATCGATATGTTTTAAATGATATCTGAGTACATAGTGACCCACCGCAGTAGTCGTATTTAGCAACTATTTTACGACTAATATAGCCTTCACAACATTATGTCGCATATTATCCGCCAATTACCGACTACTTTTTTGGTCGCCAAATAGCGATTATTATACGAATAATACTCTGTTGTTGTAAGGTAATCGCCTTATTTTAGTTATATAGTCACTAAATTGCTTGTTTTCTTGAATTGAGGGTCACCGGAGATTCAGACAAATGGGATAAGAAAGGAAAGATAACCTGGATCGAGAAGCAGCGAGTAGTGATGCCAATATCTGGATCAGTGGTGGAGGAGACTCGAGATAATCAAGGATCCGTAGAAGGCAACCATATTCATCAAAAGAGGAGGAATATAGCTTAGGGCTATCATCGCAAAAGAACAATATGCCAATCTCGAACGAAGGACTTATAGCCGTCAACACATAGGAATTTATAGATAAACCAAGCCCCGAGAAAAGATCGGAATCACCTTCAGAAGTCGGCAGAGAACACTTGAAAGAAACTCAAAGAAGCGGGTTGTAATGAAGACACTAGTTAAAAGAAGAAAAAATCGGAGAAAAACGCCATAACAGAAACGTCATTGAAGAAGCGAGTTGACGAGTGGATGTTGATCTCCTTTTAAAGAAAGAAAATCAGTTGACGAGTGCATGTAGATCTCCTGTTATCAAGACACCATTCATGTTTTTTTTGTATTTTATGCTTTCCATACTGTTTACGCACTTTTTGAAACTGTTCATTTTGTTTATTCAAATAAATTAATTTTAATAGGAAAAAAAAATTCTTTATAAAGTACATATTTGCGTTATTTTGTATCAACACTCTCATTTTTAAACCATCGCTTAAATGAGTTCACCGAGGATCATTTATCAAAATTCTCCACATACTCCATTTCGTACTCCTGCTTCAAGAGTTCAACAACAAGGTAGACTAAGACGTGGAAGTAATTTACAATGAGGGACATGAAGCTCACGAATCTCTATTGGGAATGATTCACGAGGAAGTCGTGGAAACAGTCATATGAGGCAATTTTAACATATACAATGAATGGCTTCAAGGACTTTCAATGCCAATTTAACAACAATTACGTCCAAATTTTTTCGACCAAAATGATTACAACGAATTTGATTAAGCTGTCAAGATATTTGAATTATTGGAGCTTCTAAGTGACATGGATTTTACCAAGCATTCATTCATCCATTTAAAATAGAAAGATTTTGGCATACGTATTTTATTGATCGCGCTGAGAAAACCATAGAAGATAAGCTACGTTTTTTACAAGCTCAAACTGGATATACACGGGACAGGAAATTTTTGAAGAAGCGCTTAGTCTCTGGAAAAAATGGTGAAAGTCCTAATTCAAGCAATTTTACTTTTGAAAGTCCATATGGTGGTAATAATTTATGGGGTCAGAATTCTGATGGACAATGGTGTCCAAGTTTTCAACAATGGGGTACATCCTCGACTGGATCACGTTGAGGGGAAGAGGGAAGTATAAACCTCAACAAGTGACGTATGTCTAGAAGTAAACACAATAGCCTTGACGGACAGACTTAGGGGGGAATGATTCGTGTCAAGAAGAGCAAGTTTGACTTCGGGCGGTACTTTTGTACAACGCTAATGTCCTCCAAAGACCTCTGTTCTTCAGTATCATTGACTAACAAGGAAGAATACTAGGGACCAAATTGGTCTCCCGGTTGGGTACCGACATAAAGTCCTGCAAGAGAGGGAATGGTCAGAGTACTTTTAGAGACTGTGTCGATGCTAGATGACAAAGAAGCCGCAAAAGAAGATATGGCTATCTATAAATTTTTACAAAATATAAATTTGCTCAAGGGTTAACTCTTGATTTGGAAGTTTTGGAATTGATGATGAGAGAGGTTACTGTTTCGAGGAACTATTCGACGAAGCGTGAAGCAAAGAGACGCCATACTACTTTTTGAGGTTAAAGTGAATAAATCAAAAGGATAAATATTGACAAATATCAAGCATCTAAAGAAGGAAAGAGAATAAAAAATTCCCCTAAAAGTAGTGATTAAACATGAAATTAAGGAAAGCAAATGAAGAGGACTACGGCCGCGTTAAAGCATTCAAGTAATACAAGCTCCATTTAATAGACTTTGGGGGACAAATGTTGGGGCCAAAACCCCTGTCTTATTTTGGTACGAGCCTTGTTCAGATATACCATGTTCAGAAGCAGAATATCACTCCATGGTATACATCATTACAGAGATTTTGTGGCTGAAATGTGTTCTTCATGATCTCGAAGTAAATCATGAGCAGCCAATGCGTTTGTGTTGTGATAGCAAATGATTGATATACATCGCCACAAACTCTATCTTCCATACGACGCACATAAAAAATGATTACTTTTATCCACGAAAAATACAGAAATATATTCTTGCACCAGTCCATGTTGTTAGTAATGCTTAATTGGCAGACATTTTTGTTAAAGCACTTTATAAACAATCATTCAATGATGTTCGTGAAAAATTGGGTATTTTGAACCTTCATGCTCTAGTCAGCCCCATGTCACAGAAATACTTTCGAATATTGTGTTGCACTCGATAATACCCATATATTATCGAATCAGCCTTCACACAATGGAACATTTTCGATTGGATTCGCCCTGCCTTGGGCTCATTAGGTGATCAAGTCTAGATCACGAACAGTTTGTGGAGGATGGCCTTATCCTTCTTTTAATTATGTTCCTCGATAAATGACGGAAACCCGAACCTATCGAGAATTTTCCCGCCTGACTTCTTCGAAAGGACTCATCTACCCGAGTCTTGCACGCCCTCCTCTCTAAAGAACAATACCTGCCCCAATCAAAATGACCCCGCGAAAGCAACGCGATAGTCATGAATCGTTCCA